TTGTGGAGTTGGTGTTTAAACATGTCTAACGAAAGAAGATTGCGGAGTTTGTGTCTAAACACGTCTTGGGAAAGGTGGTTGTGGAGTTGGTATTTAACAACACTTTTAAGGAAAGGTGGTTGTGGCGTTGCTTTTTAAACACGTCTAAGGAAAGGTTGTTGTGGAGTTGGTCTTTAAACATGTCTAAAGAAAGGTGGTGAAGGAGTTGATATTTAAACACGTCTAAGGAAAGGTGGTTGTGCTGTTGGTGTTTAAACACGTCTAAGGAAAGGTGGTTGTGGAGTTGGCGTTTATACAACACTAAGGAAAGGTGGTTGTGGAGTTGGTGTTTAAACACGTATAGAGAAAGTTTGTCGTGGAGTTGGTCTTTAAACACGTCTAAGGAAAGGTGGTTGTGGAGTTAGTGTCTAAACACGTCTAGGGAAAGGTGGTTGTGGAGTTGGTGTTTAAACACGTCAAGGGAAAGGTGGTTGTGGAGTTAGTGTCTAATAACGTCTAGGGAAAGGTGGTTGTGGAGTTGGTGTTTAAACACGTCTTGGGAAAGATGGTTGTGGAGTTTTTGTTTAAACACGTCTTGGGAAAGGTGGTTGTGAAGCTGGTGTTTAAACATGTCTAGGGAAAGGTTGTTGTGGAGATGGTATTTAAACACGTCTAAGGAGAGATTGTTGTTGAGTTGGTGTTTAAACACGTTTTGGGAAAGTTGGTTGTGGAGTTGGTATTTAAACACGTCTAAAGAAAGGTGGTTGTTGTGTTGGTGTCTAAACACGTCTAATGAAAATGTGGTTGTGGAGTTGGTATTTAAACACGTCTAGGGAAAGTTGGTTGTGGAGTTGGTGTCTAAAACACGTCTTGGGAAAGGTGGTTGTGGAGTTGGTGTTTAAACACGTCTTGGGAAAGGTGGTTGTGGAGGATTTGTCTAAACACGTCTGGGAAAGGTGGTTGGTGAGAGAGAATATAGCTATGGAAAATATGCGGCCAAAGAAGTGAAAGATGTGAACAAGAATGGAGCATATGTGATAACGGATGGGTGGTACGGGACCGTGGATGAGGGACATATGACTATTATGGGTAGTACGGGAATGTGGATGAGGGACATATGACTATGGATGGGTGGTATGGGATTGTGGATGAGGGACATATGACTATGGATGGGTGGTACGGGACCGTGGATGAGGGACATATGACTATGAATGGGTGGTACGGGACCGTGGATGAGGGACATATGACTATGGATGGGTGGTAAGGGACTATGGATGAGGGACATATGACTATGGATGGGTGGTACGGGACTGTGGAGGAGGGACATTTGACTATGAATGGGTGGTACGGGACTGTGGATGAGGGACATATGACTATGGATGGGTGGTACGGGACTGTGGATGAGGGACATATGACTATGGATGGGTGGTACGGGACTGTGGATGAGGGACATATGACTATGGATGGGTGGTACGGGACTGTGGAGGAGGGACATATGACTATGGATGGGTGGTACGGGACTGTGGATGAGGGACATATGACTATGGATGGGTGGTACGGGACTGTGGATGAGGGACATATGACTATGGATGGGTGGTACGGGACTGTGGATGAGGGACATATGACTATGGATGGGTGGTACGGGACTGTGGATGAGGGACATATGACTATGGATGGGTGGTACGGGACTGTGGATGAGGGACATATGACTATGGATGGGTGGTACGGGACTGTGGATGAGGGACATATGACTATGGATGGGTGGTACGGGACTGTGGATGAGGGACATATGACTATGGATGGGTGGTACGGGACTGTGGATGAGGGACATATGACTATGGATGGGTGGTACGGGACTGTGGATGAGGGACATATGACTATGGATGGGTGGTACGGGACTGTGGATGAGGGACATATGACTATGGATGGGTGGTACGGGACTGTGGATGAGGGACATATGACTATGGATGGGTGGTACGGGACTGTGGATGAGGGACATATGACTATGGATGGGTGGTACGGGACTGTGGATGAGGGACATATGACTATGGATGGGTGGTACGGGACTGTGGATGAGGGACATATGACTATGGATGGGTGGTACGGGACTGTGGATGAGGGACATATGACTATGGATGGGTGGTACGGGACCGTGGATGAGGGACATATGACTATGAATGGGTGGTACGGGACCGTGGATGAGGGACATATGACTATGGATGGGTGGTAAGGGACTATGGATGAGGGACATATGACTATGGATGGGTGGTACGGGACTGTGGAGGAGGGACATTTGACTATGAATGGGTGGTACGGGACTGTGGATGAGGGACATATGACTATGGATGGGTGGTACGGGACTGTGGATGAGGGACATATGACTATGGATTGGTGGTACGGGACCGTGGATGAGGGACATATGACTATGGATGGGTTGTACGGGACCATGGATGAGGGACATATGACTATGGATGGGCGGTACGGGACTGTGGATGAGTGACATATGACTATGGATGGGTGGTACGGGACCGTGGATGAGGGACATATGACTATGGATGGGTTTTACGGGACCGTGGATGAGGGACATATGACTATGGATGGTTGGTACGGGACCGTAGATGAGGGACATATGACTATGGATGGGTTGTACCGTACCGTGGATGAGGGCATATGTCTGTGGATGGGTGGTACGGGACCGTGGATGAGGGACATATGACTATGGATGGGTTGTACGGGACCGTGGATGAGGGACATATGACTATGGATGGGTGGTACTGGACTGTGGATGAGGGACATATGACTATGGATGGGGAAATGTTACCATGGACGTTGACTCACTTAAGGAAAATAATGAATAGAAATAAGGTTTGTAAAGTTCCAATATCTGCCCACTTATAATATAAATTTTTAATGTAAAGTACCCATATCTTCACTCATATGTGTAATTTTAGTACTCATTTGTTCCCAATTATGTTTATGTGAAGTAACCCATATCTTCCCACTTTTAATATAATGTTTACGTACAGTGACCATATATTTCGCATGCATATTCTATTTATACATTTTTCTCTATGTTAAACTGTCTTTGTGCTGCTTTACGTTAAGTCAACCAAGGTTGTTGACATCTTTGCTGTTTGCATTCTTTTAGGCTTATCATTTTTAATTTCGAAGATTACCCCAACCCCTGTGTCAACCTCCCCCAACCCTGTGTCAACCTTCCCACCCATGTGTCAACCTCCCCAACCCTGTGTCAACCTCCCCCAACCCCCGGGTCAGCCTCCCCAACCATGTGTCAACCTCCCCCAATCCCTGTGTCAAACTTCCCCAACCCTGTGTCAACCTCCCCCAATCCCTGTGTCAACCTCCCCCAATCCCTGTGTCAACCTCCCCCAATCCCTGTGTCAACCTCCCCCAATCCCTGTGTCAACTTCCCCCAATCTCTGTGTCAACCTCCCCAAATCCCTTCCCTTTGTCACTCTTCCCCCACCCTGTGTCAACCTCCCCCCCTCCCTGTGTCAACCTCCCCCAATCCCTGTGTCAACCTCCCCCAATCCCTGTGTCAACCTCCCCTAATCCCTGTGTCAACTTCCCCCAATCTCTGTGTCAACCTCCCCAAATCCCTGTGTCAACCTCCCCATCCCTGTGTCAACCTCCCCACCCCTGTGTCAACCTCCCCCATCCCTGTGTCAACCTCCCCAACCCTTGTGTCAACCTCTCCAACCACTGTTTCAACCTCCCCCATACCTGTGTCAACCTCCCCCAATCTCTGTGTCTACGTCCCCAAATCCCTGTGTCAACCTCCCCAATCCCTGTGTCAACGTCCCCAACCCCTCTGATATGTTACTGTGGGATTGTGTGATATGTGACTGTGTGATATGTGATTGTGTGATGTGTGATTGTGTGATATGTGATTGCATGTATGTCTAACACTAAATTCGTTAAATTATTCCTCTCAGTTATTTCAAATCTGGTTAAATTTATGTTTAGTAATGAGAACTTCCTTCTCAGTGTATTTTGTTTGACGGGCTAAAATTGTCTAAAAAATCAACTGAATATAGGATTTCGAAAAGCTTGAATCTTTTTCTGAAAAACTTGAATCCTTGTTCTGAAAAGCTTATTTCTTTGTTCTGAAAAGCTGGAATCTTTGTTCTGAAAAGCTTGAAACTTTTTTCTGAAAAACTTGAATCTTTGTTCTGAAAAGCTTGAATCTTTGTTCTGAAAAGCTTGAATCTTTGTTCTGAAAAGCTTGAATCTTTGTTCTGAAAAGCTTGAATCCTTGTTCTGAAAAACTTGAATCTTTGTTCTGAAAAGCTTGAATATTTGTTCTGAAAAGCTTGAATCTGTATTCTGAAAAGCTTGAACCTTTGTTCTTCGTAACATACGAGGCATGAAGGACAATGGTTAATTTGGCAAAACTGGTCAAATTTGCTATCTGACACTCATTATGGCATGGCCTCGGATTTTATGAAATGACAACGCATTAGATTAGAACATAACCTTGACAACACAAAAAATGAAAGCTTTGTAAGAAGACTGTCAACAATATATAGGGTACACTGACCAATCAAATATGAGCCAAGCGAATAAATTAAAAATATTGCATTGTAAACACAACAATTTTGTGGGGGGTGGGGGTTTACTAGGACACCGAGCATGGGGGTGTGGGTTGACTGAAAACTTACGGGCACCACTAGAGGGCCTAAGCTGTGGGTGCTACATCTGCGGGGGCGCTCGGGCTTGTCCTCGCCAAAACAACCGAAAGGAAAGACCCCGAGACTATGGGTGCTAGGTCGCCGGGGCTTCTCCCCGCCCTCGCCGAACATGGATATGGGCAGTATGCCCACGCTATGAGTACTGGGGCGCCGACTATCGGCCGAGGAGACGGGCAGTATGCCGGCCATGCTGGGTCGCCGGTGAGACGCCCCTGTGTTCCGGTCACACGAGCTACTGCCCCGATGGAGGAAATCGGTTAGTCCACTTACAGAAAAGGGTCCCAAGCTATGCGTACTAGGCCTCCTGGGCCTGTCCGGGCTGAGGTCTTCTGTGGTGATGGAGATGGTAGGATTGTTGCTGGTGCTCGTGGCGCTGGCGGGCCCGTTAGGGGCCAGGGCGTTGCCCGTGGGGGGCGGAACGAGGCTGTGTCGTCTCAGAATTTCGATGGGCTTATCCAAAGTTGACTTTTCATCCTGAAATCGCAAAAAATGTAGACGTCATAGTATACGTCATAACATACGTCATATCATTTGAAAGTTCTTCAATGGTTTTTCCGGTCAAACTCTAACCGGAAATAAACATTTTGAATAATTAAAAGGTTAATTATTCCAAATTCCTGCACGACTGCAGCAAGTGATGTCTAGTTATGTGCCAACTATTTTAGTACACATACACATCATATTCAACTGTGATGTCTTGTCAAACAAATTGTTACCTGTAGTCCATGTACACATACAACTGTGATGTCTTGTCAAACAAATTGTTACCTGTAGACCATGTACACATTCAAATGTGATGTCTTGTCAAACAAATTGTTACCTGTAGTCCATGTACACATTCAACTGTGATGTCTTGTCAAACAAATTGTTACCTGTAGTCCATGTACACATTCAACTGTGATGTCTTGTTTATCAAAGTGCTACCTGTAGTCCACATACACATTCAACTGTAATGTCTTGTTTATCAAATTGCTAGCTGTAGTCCACATACACATTCAACTGTGATGTCTTGTTTATCAAAATGCTAGCTGTAGTCCACATAAACATTCAACTGTGATGTCTTGTTTATCAAAATGCTACCTGTAGCCCACATACACATTCAACTGTGATGTCTTAATTGTGTAACAAAATCCTACTCGATGCTATAGTAACCGACAATCACAGGACATAGAACACGTTCAGCCTTGACCTTACCAGGCTCATGCCGAGAGACTGGAGACTTTGATTTTTCCGGGCAGTTTTAGGGCTGCTGTTGATCTTGTTCCTTTGCGACTCCGGAGTTCCTGGGGCTGGAAGCCACACACATGGAGAAAACAACACACGCAATTAAATCAAAGAAATACCCTGTTAAGATCGTGCTATACTCTCCAAACAGCTGACGAGAGATGACCGTTTGGTACTTTTCTACCTCCATGGTAACCAATAACAACATGTATGTACATACTGATAAACCAAGAAGTCGTAGCTTAAGATAATAAGTTTTTGCTTTGAAGCATTTTTCCCCCTTTTATTTGTGTTTGCCAATGAAGCAATTTTCAATGTAGCAGTGAGTAATTTGTCAATGTAGCAATTATTACTTTGTCATTTTGTAGCAGTGAGTACATTGTCCATGTAGCAGTAGTGATCTGGAGATCTCTCACTTACATGTCTTAGCTTAATGTAACTGTTGAGTTCTGGGGTTCTTTCAATTACATGTCTTAGCTTTATGTAACTGTTGAGTTCTGAAGGTCTTTCACTTACATGTCTTAGCTTTATGTAACTGTCGAGCTCTACAGGTCTCTCACTTACATGTCTTAGCTTTATGTAACTGTTGAGTTCTGAAGGTCTTTAACTTACATGTCTTAGCTTTATGTAACTGTCGAGCTCTACAGGTCTCTCACTTACATGTCTTAGCTTTATGTAACTGTTGAGTTCTGGAGGTCTCCAATAAAATGGCTTGATGTGACGTAGACAGATTGTCGTCAGAGCCGTTCTCAGTACCGGTATTCACCATCTTCAGGGAACCCCTGCAATTGTCAAAGTTAGACTTAGATTCAAGGAACCCCTGCAATTGTCAAAGTTAGACTTAGATTCAAGGAACCCCTGCAATTGTCAAAGTTAGACTTAGATTCAAGGAACCCCTGCAATTGTCAAAGTTAGACATAGATTCAACTTTTGCAATTAAAAAATGCTTATTATTATGAAAGTTAGGTCAATAGATTAGGAAAGTTATGTCCATAATTTAGTAAAGTTAGGTCCATAGATTAGGGGTAAGGTCCATACATTAGGAAAGTTAGGTCCATAGATTAGGAAAGTTAGGTCCATAGTTTAGTAAAGTTAGGTCCATAGATTAGAAAAGTAAGATCCATGGATTAGGAAAGTTAGGTACTTAGATTAGGAAAGTTAGTTTCATAGCTAAGAAAAGTTAGGTCCATAGATTAAGAAAGTTAGGTCCATAGATTAGGAAAGTTAGGTCCATAGATTAAGAAAGTTAGGTCCTTAGATTAGGAAAGTAAGGTCCATAGATTAGGAAATTTAGTTCCGTAGATTAGGAAAGTTAGGTTCATAGATTAGGAAAGTTAGGTCCATAGATTAGGAAAGTTAGGTCCATAGATTAGGAAAGTGAAGTCCGTAGATTAGGAAAGTTAGGTCCATAGCTAAGAAAAGTTAGGTCCATAGATTAAGAAAGTTAGGTCCATAGATTAGGAAAGTTAGGTCCATAGATTAAGAAAGTTAGGTCCTTAGATTAGGAAAGTTAGGTCCTTAGATTAGGAAAGTTAGGTCCTTAGATTAAGAAAGTTAGGTCAATAGATTAGGAAAGTTACGTCCATAGATTAAGAAAGTTAGGTCAATAGATTAGGAAAGTTACGTCCATAGATTAGAAAAGTTAGTTCCATAGCTAAGAAAATTTAGGTTCATAGAGTAGGAAAGTTAGGTCCATAGATTAGGAAAGTAAGTTACATAGATTAGGAAAGTTGGGTCCATAGATTAGGAAAGTTAGGTCCATAGATTAGAAAGTTAGGTGCTTAGATTAAGAAAGTTAGTTCCATAGATTAGGATAGTTAGGTCCATAGATTAGGAAAGTTAGGTCCATAGATTAAGAAAGTTATATGTGAATTAATTTCTTCTCGTTGACATTGAACCTTGATCTTTGAACTTCAACACAACTTCTTTCCGAACTGAAACTAGGCTAAATGGTGTGTATGTTTTTTTTTTTTTTTATATTCGGTTGGTAGAGCCATCGAAGGAGAGCGATTGAGTTTGAGATCAATGGTTGGTAGAGCCATCGAAGGAGAGCATTGAGTTTGAGATAAATAACCTTGATCTTTGAACTTCAACACAACTTCTTTCCGAACTGAAACTAGGCTAAATGGTGTGTATGTTTTTTTTTTTTTATATTCGGTTGGTAGAGCCATCGAAGGAGAGCGATTGAGTTTGAGATCAATGGTTGGTAGAGCCATCGAAGGAGAGCATTGAGTTTGAGATCAATGGTTGGTAGAGCCATCGAAGGAGGGCGAGTGAGTTTGAGAACAATGGTTGGTAGAGTCATCGAAGGAGAGCGATTGAGTTTGAGAGCAATGGTTGGTAGAGCCATCGAAGGAGGGCGAGTGAGTTTGAGAACAATGGTTGGTAGAGCCATCGAAGGAAAGCGATTGAGTTTGAGATCAATGGTTGGTAGAGTCATCGAAGGAGGGCGAGTGAGTTTGAGAACAATGGTTGGTAGAGCCATCGAAGGAGGGCGAGTGAGTTTGAGAACAATGGTTGGTAGAGCCATCGAAGGAGGGCGCGTGAGTTTGAGAACAATGGTTGGTAGAGCCATCGAAGGAGGGCGTGTGAGTTTGAGAACAATGGTTGGTAGAGCCATCGAAGGAGAACGATTGAGTTTGAGAACAATGGTTGGTAGAGCCATCGAAGGAGGGCGAGTGAGTTTGAGAACAATGGTTGGTAGAGCCATCGAAGGAGAACGATTGAGTTTGAGAACAATGGTTGGTAGAGCCATCGAAGGAGGGCGAGTGAGTTTGAGAACAATGTTTGGTAGAGCCATCGAAGGAGAACGATTGAGTTTGAGAACAATGGTTGGTAGAGCCATCGAAGGAGGGCGAGTGAGTTTGAGAACAATGGTTGGTAGAGCCATCGAAGGAGAACGATTGAGTTTGAGAACAATGGTTGGTAGAGCCATCGAAGGAGGGCGAGTGAGTTTGAGATCAACGAATATACGAAAACGTTATGAAAAAACCCTCAATTAATCTTGACTTGACTGAATGATTAAATACAAAGATTTAGGCGAATTTTCCACACGCCAGTAACTACACTAGAACAGTCTGATACAGGGCCGGCCCCTACGGTTGCTGGCGCCCTGGGCGAGTTAAAATTTTGGCATCCCGGGAAAGTTAAACTTTGGCACCTCTTATAAGTATCAGTATAAACTTTGTGCAAGGCAAAAACTGGGGATTGTGGGATGGGTCAATTACCTTTGGTTTAAACAAAGAATGAACAATAACTTTATGTTCTGACAGCCGTGTAAGTGTAGGAATAAGTATATTCTTGTCTTCTGTGGTACACACTGACAGCCGGATAGATGTAAGAGTAAGTCTATTCTTATCTTCTCTGTGTTACACTCTGACAGCCGGGTAGATGTAAGAGTAAGTCTACTCTTGCCTTCTGTGTTACACTCTGACAGCCGGGTAGATGTAAGAGTAAGTCTATTCTTGCCTTCTCTGTGTTACACTCTGACAACCGGGTATATGTAAGAGTAAGTCTATTCTTGTCTTCTCTGTGTTACACTCTGACAGCGGGTAGATGTAAGAGAAAGTCTATTCTTGCCTTCTCTGTGTTATATTCTGACATCGGGGTAGATGTAAGAGTAAGCCTGCTCTTGCCTTCTCTGTGTTACACTCTGACAGTGCGGGTAGATGTAAGAGTAAGCTTACTCAAGAGTAAGCTTACTCTGTGGTAGTTGGTTAACAGCTGGGCCAGACGGCCCTCTTCATGACATTTACGCCAAGTCATTAGAGGGAAGCAATTACATTTTTTTTTTACTCGCGCCAAGACGTAACAGCTACTATTGAGATACGTCCAAGATAAGGCTAATCAAGAAAGCTCCAGGCCAGAAAAAAAAATCATTCGTCTTCCCACGTGGAAGAGTTGAATCAAATGTACGTGATGATAGCGCAATTATGGAAATGACGGGGAAATCTGTCTGTGCAGACTGTAAGAGACTGTCTGACTAACATAATATCCTGGTTAGACATGATAGGGACTGTTGAATGTTTTTTTTGTTTTTTGTGTGTGTGTGCAAGATAGAAACGGAGGAATGGGACTTGATGACAAGTTATAACAGGACCATGCTCTCAGATTAACACTATTATATTTTTAAATGCCAATTCCCAAAATCTGTATATATACATAGATTGATAGATCTGACCCAATTTCCAGACTGACTTGATACACTTCTTATCACTGACCTCATGTCAAGACAGACTTGATTTCCATCTTATCCCTCATATAACATAGTGTGACACATAGACTTGACCCCCTGTCCAGACAGTCTTGATACCCTACTTATCACTGGCCCCCCAAAACCCTACTTATCACTAATAATACTGCAATTAGGATATGAGAAGCTTTGGCGATGTTGCCACTTTGTCAAAACAGTACTTCCGGTCTGAGCTGGCTACTCCACAAGCATTACACAGACTTTGTCTGGCTCACCACCAACGCCCCCTCCCCCACCCTACCAAGACACTACCCTCTCAACCCCCAGTCCTGCGCTACATGGTTTGTCCTCACATAGTTCCTGGAACCGTGGATCTGAGGTTTCGTTGACACAATCTTAAAGTGAGTGCTAAGACATGGGCCTGGAGGCTAACGGGTCGTGAGTGCTAAGACATGGGCCTGGAGGCTAATGGGCCGTGAATGCTAAGACATGGACCTGGGGGCTAACGGGTAGTGAGTGCTAAGACATGGTCCTGGAGGCTAACGGGCCTTGAGTGCTAAGACATGGTCCTGGAGGCTAACTGCCCGTGAGTGCTAAGACATGGGCCTAAAGGCTAACGGGTCGTGAATGCTAAGACATGGGCATGGAAGCTAAGGGATCGTGAGTGCTAAGACATGGGGCTGGAGGCTAACGGGCTGGGAGTGCTAAGACATTGGCCTGGGGGCTAACGGGCAGTGAGGGCTAAGACATTGGCCTGGGGGCTAACGGGCAGTGAGTGCTAAGAAATATGCCTGGGGGCTAACGGGCAGTGAGTGCTAAGACATGGGCCTGGAGGCTAACGGACCATGAGTGCTAAGACATTGGCCTGGAGGCTAACGGACCGTGAGTGCTAAGACATTGGCCTGGAGGCTAACGGACCGTGAGTGCTAAGACATTGGCCTGGGGGCTAACGGGCAGTGAGTGCTAAGAAATATGCCTGGGGGCTAACGGGCAGTGAGTGCTAAGACATTGGCCTGGGGGCTAACGGGCAGTGAGTGCTAAGACAGTGGCCTGGGGGCTAACGGGCAGTGAGTGCTAAGACATAGGCCTGGGGGCTAACGGGCCGTGAGTGCTAAGACATAGGCCTGGAGGCTAACGGACCGTGAGTGCTAAGACATTGGCCTGGGGGTGTGAGTGCTAAGACAGTGGCCTGGGGGCTAACGGGCAGTGAGTGCTAAGACATATGCCTGGGGGCTAACGGGCAGTGAGTGCTAAGACATTGGCCTGGAGGCTAACGGGCAGTGAGTGCTAAGACAGTGGCCTGGAGGCTAACGGACCGTGAGTGCTAAGACATTGGCCTGGAGGCTAACGGACCGTGAGTGCTAAGACATTGGCCTGGAGGCTAAGGGATCGTGAGTGCTAAGACATTGGCCTGGGGGCTAACGGGCAGTGAGTGCTAAGAAATATGCCTGGGGGCTAACGGGCAGTGAGTGCTAAGAAATATGCCTTGGGGCTAACGGGCAGTGAGTGCAAAGACATGGGCCTTGGGGCTAACGGGCAGTGAGTGCTAAGAAATATGCCTTGGGGCTAACGGGCAGTGAGTGCTAATAAATATGCCTGGGTGCTAACGGGCAGTGAGTGCTAAGAAATATGCCTGGGGGGTAACGGGCAGTGAGTGCTAAGACATGGGCCTTGGGGCTAACGGGCAGTGAGTGCTAAGACATAGGCCCGGGGGCTAACGTGCTAATAAATTAGACGACTTAACTTTGACACTTGTGGTCCGAAGCCAGTGTTTGTTTATATTGACGGCCGAGACGCCACAGGGAGACAGTTGTCCCCACTCCACCTCCATATCCTCAAAAGTCTTAGAGTAGGAATTCCGCCCCCACCTCCCCCATTTGTTTCACGTTTACTTTCTTTGTCTGTCAAATGCCCGTGTCTTCATCATCCTAGATCCATCCATCATCCTAGATCCATTGGACATCATTATTGTCTCCAATTCTTTCATCATCCTAGATCCATTGGACATCATTATTGTCTCCAATTCTTTCATCATCCTAGATTCATTGAACATCATTATCGTCTCCCATTCCTTCATCATCATAGATCCCTTGGACATCATTGTCTCCCATTCCTCCATCATCCTAGATCCATTGGATATCATTATTGTCTCCGATTCCTCCATCATCCTAGATCCATTGGACATCATCCTAGATCCTTTGGACATCATTCTAGATCCATTGGACATATTATTGTCTCCCATTCCCCCATCACCCTAGATCCATTGGACATTATCCTAGATCCATTGGAAATTTTTATTGTTTCCTATTCTCCCATCATCCTAGATTCATTGGACATCATCCTAGATCCATTGGACATCATTATTGTCTCCCATTCCCCCATCATCCTAGATCCATTGAACATCATCCTAGATCCATTAGACATCATCCTAGATCCATTGGACATCATCCTAGATCCATTGGACATCATTATTGTCTCCCATTCCCCCATCATCCTAGATCCATTGAACATCATCCTAGATCCATTGAACATCATCCTAGATCCATTGGACATCATCCTAGATCCATTGGACATCATTATTGTCTCCCATTCCCCCATCATCCTAGATCCATTGAACATCATCCTAGATCCATTAGACATCATCCTAGATCCATTGGACATCATCCTAGATCCATTGGACATCATCCTAGATCCATTGGACATCATTATTGTCTCCCATTCCCCCATCATCCTAGATCCATTGAACATCATCCTAGATCCATTAGACATCATCCTAGATCCATTGGACATCATCCTAGATCCATTGGACATCATTGTTGTCTCCAATTCCTCCATCATTCTGTAAACTGCCTTCTGGATTCAGTTGGGGGCTTTGTTACACCCCTTGTTAAACATCCATATCCCTCAGCGGCGTCACTAGGGCTTGAGTCTTCCAGTCTGTCTCGCCTCCTCCTCCCGCTTGCGTTCCCCTAGTGACGCCACTGATATATCTTTTTTTTTTTTTCTTTTTAACCCTTGAGTTGATTTGAGCAATGATTTGAAGACCCAGTCATGCAATCATTTGTATCATGATACAAGTAAATCTCAAGTCGGTTTCCGTGAAAAAGTCTGGGTGACTCAGAGTATGCATTCTAAAACATTGTGCTCAATGAGTACACTGAAATAATCTCGTAAAGACATGGGGCAATATGGGGCAACAACTGCTTCATTTTAACAACTGCTTCATTTGAATCTATTTCACCACAGCTAGCGAGGTTTCAACAAAAGTTCACAGAATAATTCAACAAAAGTTCGCAGAACAATTCAACAAAGTTCACAGAATAATTCAACAAAAGTTCGCAGAATAATTCAACAAAGTTCACAGAATAATTCAACAAAAGTTCACAGAATAATTCAACAAAGTTCACAGAATAATTCAACAAAAGTTCACAGAATAATTCAACAAAAGTTCACAGAATAATTCAACAAAGTTCACTGAATAATTCAACAAAAGTTCACAGAATAATTCAACAAAAGTTCACAGAATACTTCAACAAAATTTCACAGAATAATTCAACAAAAGTTCGACGAATAATTCAACAAAAGTTCACAGAATAATTCAACAAAGTTCACAGAATAATTCAACAAAAGTTCACAGAATAATTCAACAAAAGTTCACAGAATAATTCAACAAAAGTTCACAGAATAATTCAACAAAAGGTCACAGAATAATTCAAAAAAGGTAACAGAATAATTCAACAAAAGTTCACGGAATAATTCAACAAAAGGTCACAGAATAATTCAACAAAGTTCACTGAATAATTCAACAAAAGTTCACAGAATAATTCAAAAAAAAGGTAACAGAATAATTCAACAAAAGTTCACAGAATAATTCAACAAAAGTTCACAGAATAATTCAACAAAAGTTCACAGAATAATTCAACAAAGTTCACAGAATAATTCAACAAAAGTTCACAGAATAATTCAACAAAAGTTCACAGAATAATTCAACAAAAGTTCACAGAATAATTCAACAAAAGTTCACAGAATAATTCAACAAAAGGTCACAGAATAATTCAACAAAAGGTCACAGAATAATTCATCAAAAGTTCACAGAATAATTCAACAAAAGTTCACAGAATAATTCAACAAAAGTTCACAGAATAATTCAACAAAAGGTCACAGAATAATTCAGCAAAAGTTCACAGAATAATTCAACAAAAGTTCACAGAATAATTCAACAAAAGTTCACAGAATAATTCAACAAAAGTTCACAGAATAATTCAACAAAAGTTCACAGAATAATTCAACAAAAGTTCACAGAATAATTCAACAACACATAAACACATATTGTTTGTATGACCCCTTTATAAATTGTTTTATCGAGCAATTGGGGGGGGGCCTGAAAGTTTGATAAAACTTGCATACAAGTGACGCTCTTTTTAAGAATTGCCCCCACCCCTTGACTCCACACAAAAAAATGGTGACAAATTATTAATGAAAATAGAATTTGCTTTTTTTTTAAAAAAAAAGCCACCGTCTGTTTTTTTTTACATTTAAAATGTGTGTGCTGGGGTCGAGGGCAGTTGAGAATGGACAGAAACTTTCGTGTGTGCTGGGGTCGAGGGCAGTTGAGAATGGACAGAAACTTTCGTGTGTGCTGGGGTCAAGGGCAGTTGAGAATGGACAGAAACTTTCGTGTGTGCTGGGGTAGAGGGCAGTTGAGAATGGACAGAAACTTTCGTATCGTAACAAAAACGCCAGAGGACCCATGGGAGAGAAGTTTCCTTTGGAAAACCCACGGACCAACAAAGGATGACTGTGGATTGGACAATACAAACCGACCAGGATTCATACAGTCTGCATCAGGATCCCATGCTAGAAGCAGAAATAAAAAAAAGGACAAGCTAAGCTGGGCAGGACACTTAGAGAGAATGCCAAATGACAGAGGAGTAAAGAGGGTGCACCATCAATACCCAGAAGAAAACGCCTCAAAGGCAGACCTAGGCTTAGATGGATGGATGATGTGGAATAAGACCTACAGCAGCTGGGAATCCAAGCAAGGGAAAGAAAATCATCAGGTATGTCTGGGTGGAAGGAAGTGGTAAGGTAGGTCAAATCTGTGTCACAAGGAATGGATGGAACCTTTCAGCACAAGGGACATAACTAATACAAAACAAATTGTCAAATATTGACAAGAGTTACCTCAAATCTAATATTTTTAAGAAACCTAGCTCGAAAAACAAGGTGAACATGGCCCAACTTTTATTTTTTAGATTAGTTCTGTCCATTTAAAAAAATCTAATATAAAGCATACAAATGTAAATTTTGAATCACCGTGACTTTAACAATATTTGGTTGGTCATAAACAATTATTTTTTTCATCATTTATGGCCACAATCTGTCATCTAAAAATGTCAGTGCCTTTCATTAGGGTTAGAGTTAAATTAAATTTTAGAACACGTTCAAAATGACTGACAATCCAGGAAGCTGTGTGCTGAGAGCGATGCTGTACACATTTGATTTTTACCAACGCGGCTGGAAAAATTACTTCTCATGGTGCTGACTCCGAAGACATCCCACGCGACATTACTCATCATGGTGCTGACTCCGAAGACATCCCACGCGACATTACTTCTCATGGTGTTGACTCCGAAGACATCCCACGCGACATTACTTCTCATGGTGCTGACTCCGAAGACATCCCACGCGACATTACTTATCATGGTGCTGACTCCGAAGACACCCCACGCGATATTACTTCTCATGGTGTTGACTCCGAAGACATCCCACGCGACATTACTTATCATGGTGCTGACTCCGAAGACATCCCACGCGACATTACTTATCATGGTGTTGACTCCCAAGATATCCCACACAACAGTACTTATCATGGTGCTGACTCCCAAGATATCCCACACAACAGTGCTTATCATGGTGTTGACTCCCAAGATATCCCACACAACAGTACTTATCATGGTGCTGACTCCCAAGATATCCCACACAACAGTGCTTATCATGGTGTTGACTCCCAAGATATCCCACACAACATAACTTATCATTAATTTACATCTGCAGGGTAATGACACCAGTCTCTTAAAAATGAAACTGTGCTACTTACTTTGGAATACAAATTACACTTCCACTTACATAAAAATATTGCAACCCAAGTTCTACTAAGTTACTAGCACATCAGTCTTGGAAGAGAAAGATGATTTTCAAGATGAGAGTGATACAAAGAGTTTTCTTTTGAAGGAAGTCTCATGTTGGGATGAAAATCCATTTTTATGATTAATGCGGTTGTTGAAGTTTATAAAATGTTACGAAGCATTTCGCTAAGGGTAAAAAATAAACTGTCATACCATTGGCAATATACTAGATAACATTTTCATTATGATAATAATTGTCTTTTCATACTCTCTCCCTCAGAAAGCTCTGTGCTGCCTTCTAACATACTCTCTACCTTTTGGTGGAAGATGATTTGTGTTTACCCGTTTTGTTCAAAGTAAAGTACATCCAACAAATATGAGCAAAGTGAAAGAAGATTTTCTACAGAGACTTTAAACCAGGCATTCCAAACAGGCATTCATCACTCTGTCGGCACCAAAAAGCCCATGCATCAATCACAGTGAAAATCATTCACCATTGAAAAAGTTAGATGTTTAAAACTGTCACTAAATAAATGAACGAATTAATTGATCAAATATTTCATCTTATAATTGAGTTCATAAAAGAATACAGTTTAAATGTATTAACTGATTAAAAATAGGAAAATTTTTGACATCATTATAAAATGTTTGGGGGGTTGAAAAACTAACTCTGAGAATAATGAAAATTGAATTCAACAGGGGGGTTAGTGGTGATAAAAGGTTCAGAGAGCCACTGCTCTAAAGATTTCTTTTTGATATTTTTTTTAAAAATTGAACAAAGATCTTAAATAAAATTGTCCCAGGTGAGATGGCAGGTGATATGGCAGGTGAGATGGCAGGTGAGATGGCAGGTGAGATGGCAGGTGAGATGGCAGGTGAGATGGCAGGTGAGATGGCAGGTGAGATGGCAGGTGAGATGGCAGGTGAGATGGCAGGTGAGATGGCAGGTGAGATGGCAGGTGAGATGGCAGGTGAGATGGCAGGTGAGATGGCAGGTGAGATGGCAGGTGAGATGGCAGGTGAGATGGCAGGTGAGATGGCAGGTGAGATGGCAGGGGAGATGGCAGGTGAGATGGCAGGTGAAACGGCAGGCTAGATGGCAGGATAGTATTTATACTTTTTTGCTTTGGAGGTAAAGGTAAAGGGATAGAATTAGTAAAACTCATGTTTTTACCTTAATACTTCAGGTAAGGGGGACAGAGTCCTTAAGACATACATGTGTTTACCTTGGTGGTACAGGCAAGGAGACAGTCTCCAGCATCATCTTATCTCTCCTCTGTTTGTCCACTTGTTCCAACATCTCTCGTAGAACTTCCATCAGAGCACCAAACTGAAAGGTTTACAAAGAGTTAAAATATTTAAAATGAAGAAAAATTACGTCATATTCTGAACATAACTAATATCTGTCATTTACAAATTATAAAAAAGCTTTATGTAGCACAATGTTGTTCTTTATAATCACTGGATTAATTGATTATGGTGGCATCAATTAATCTTGTCATTTATAATCACTGGATTAACTGATTACGGTAGCCTAATTTAATTGTTTCTGCAGCCCTGTTGTAAGAAGTTTATGTTTAAACAATTTTTCTACTTTATTCAGATATTATCACCATGCTTAAACTGTGTACTGCTGAAATTTAAGTTTATCAATACAAACTCAATACCTTATAAGATCATCGCACTATAACAGTTTAAAATCATATCATACGTTATACAGTCCAGGGCCGAGTTAATGGATTCTTGCTCCTGGAGGTAATCCACATTTTTGGGCCCTGGGGTAATCCACATTTTTGGGCCCAGAGGAAATCCACATGTTGGCTCCTGGGCAAATCCAGATTCTGGGCCCCCAAAGAATTCAAAATAATTGTTGAAACTGTATTTTTTTTCATTTTAGCAAGGCCCCAAGTGGTTTACTCAGTTGCCTCAGCCTCTGCATGGATCTGATTCAGTCTATTTACCTGGTCCATATTGAGTCCAGGGTTAACTGTGTGAGGGATCAAGGTGGGCATGACCTTGGTGGCTATGAGGTTGTGGGTCAACCCAAACTTTTTATCACTCAGCATGTGTTTGTAAATGCCTGGGGGGAGGAATCATTGTAACATTACTGAATTAGGTCATTCACAACATTGGGGTAATCTTTGTAATATTATTGTATTAGATCAATCAGAGCACAGAGAGGAATCTTTGTAACATAACTGTATTGGATCATTCACAACACAAGGAGGAAGCACTGTCACATGATTGAATTAGATCAGTCACGAAGGAAAGCGGAGTCATGGTAACAAGAGTCTACAGTATCAATCTAATCATGAAGTTAAAATGGCATATAGACTTTATTTCAGTGCTACATAGCACTATGGTATTTGTTGTTGTGCTGCATAGCACTATTGTATTTGTTATTGTGCTACACAGCAATATGCTATTTGTTGCTGTGCTACACAGCACTATGGTATTTGTTGCTGTGCTACATAGCACTATGTTATTTTTTGCTGTGCTACATAGCACTATGGTATTTGTTGCTGTGCTACATAGCACTATGTTATTTGTTGATGTGCTACATAGCACTATGGTATTTGTTGCTGTGCTACATAGCAGTATGGTATTTGTTGATGTGCTACATAGCACTATGGTATTTGTCGCTATGCTACATAGCACTATGGTATTTGTCGCTGTTCTACATAGCACTATGGTATTTGTCGCTGTGCTACATAGCACTATGGTATTTGTTGCTGTGCTACATAGCACTATGGTATTTGTTGCTGTGCTACATAGCACTATGGTATTTGTTGCTGTGCTACATATCACTATGGTATTTGTTGCTGTGCTACATAGCACTATGGTATTTGTTGCTGTGCTACATAGCACTATGGTATTTGTTGCTGTGCTACATAGCACTATGGTATTTGTTGCTGTGCTACATAGCACTATGGTATTTGTTGCTGTGCTACATACCACTATGGTATTTTCTGCTGTGCTACATAGCACTATGGTATTTTTTGCTGTGCTACATAGCACTATGGTATTTGTTGCTGTGCTACATAGCACTATGGTATTTGTTGCTGTGCTACATAGCACTATGGTATTTGTTGCTGTGCTACATAGCACTATGGTATTTGTTGATGTGCTACATAGCACTATGGTATTTGTTGCTCTGCTGTTGGCGGTCATACCATTTGACTGGATTTTAGTAAGGGGAGGTCAGCATTGTACAGGAATATCTTTTGCATCTAAATTTTGATTATTTTAAGACAAAGTATTTTGTATAAGTGTCTGGTCATCTCTGCTGACCAAATGAATTTCTTAATTTATTCACCCACTTCATAAAGAATTTTTGGTATAGGATTTAGGATTTTTAAAACACTTCGTAACTTTATTTCATGACATGAACATACTGCTGTGTACAGAGGGGCATGTGGATACAGGATAAATGTGTACAGAAGGGCATGTGTGGATATAGGATAAATGTGTACAGAAGAGCATGTGTGGATAGAGACTATTGGTGACAATGAGTCATTAGATTATGCCTCACCAACAACACACATGACCACATCAGGATCTTGTCCAGATATGTTGGCCAAGAAAGGTAAAATGTTGTCCAGTATCAGCATCTTGTCCAGACTGTCCAGCAAGTGGTCAATACAGGTCAGAGCATTGATGCGGATCTAAAAAAAATATATTAGTAAAATAAAATAATTGTTTTCACCATTAGATTCGCACTTTTACTTATGAGTTCTCCACTACTTACGTCAGGAATTTTTTTTTTATCAAAGTGATAATAATGTGGCCATGCCAGGACGGAAATAGAAGCTTTGTTTTTACAAATGGACACATACCATTATTATTGGGCATATACCTTTTATAAAAAAATTAATACCTGTTATAAAAAATTAATGCATCATTCTATGTTTAAAATAAAGAAACTGTCAATAATTTAAAACCATTTTGTATTGATTGAGTATCTGTTAAAATATATTTAAATATTTTGTATCATTTATAAAAGTCCTATGGTATAGGTTCCTTTTATTTTTGTGATAAAAAAAAACCCAAACAACTCTTTGGAACACAAACATTTTTTAGGAATTGATTTTTAAAAAAATCTAAATTTTTAAACAGTTTATGTTTACAAACAACTTTTGTGATTTTACCTTGACATTACTTGAGCGGAAAAATAGAGATTTTGCTTTCGGCAGAACAACTTTCCGCAGGATGTTGTCATCTAAGAACTCTTTGATCACGCCAATGGCACCAAGAGCTGCTTCCTGGTTCAGAGAGGAGAAACTTTTCAAATCTTTTCTCATCTTTACCTCACATTATATTTTAGTATCATTAACTGTATACAGTGTTAATAAAGGGTGCACATAGCAATTCTTATAGTTTATGTACATAGAATTGAAAGAAAATTTGCAATCATGACTATTTTTGCTATGTCAAGGAAATATTTTGATTGTAAATTGAAAAGTGTTGGACAGAACAACGAAATGTGTGCCCTTATAAGAAGTCTAACCGGCAAACCTGGGCTTGGAGAGATGATGAGTCGAGAGTATTGAAGACAAAAGGTAGCACCTCCCCCTTGATCTCATCAATTGGTGACTTGGACAACAGAATGTCCAGCTTGTTAAGTATATACACAGTAGCCTGGCAAATGGACAGACACAGAACGGGTTCATGTCATACTGTACATCGTTCTTTCAAACGTTTAGCATCTTGAGGACATGCTGATATTTTAATATCAGTTTATACATGTAACATCCCCATAGATCAAACAGTAATGCAGAGTCAGTATGTCTTATCCTGTTGTAAAACCTTTAGGCTTATTTTTTTTAAAATGCTGATAAAGTTAAATGCTTTTAATATCTTTTAACTTGAATAACATCTGAACTAGAGGAAAAGAGAAATACATTTTAAAACAAAATGAGTTGCCGTAGTGAGAGATGTTGGGTGTTTGGCCTCAGGTTTTGATATCAACAACATAATGCTAGCCATTGACTTAAGAGGCATTTACTGGTACAGGTTTGAATATAAGCAATATAATGCTAGCCATAGACTTAACGAGGCACTCACCGGTACAGTTTTGAATATAAGCAACATAATGCTAGCCATAGACTTAACGAGGCACTCACCGGTACAGTTTTGAATATAAGCAACATAATGCTAGCCATAGACTTAACGAGGCACTCACCGGTACAGTTTTGAATATAAGCAACATAATGCTAGCCACAGACTTAAGAGGCACTCACCGGTACAGGTTTGGCATTAGCAAGAATGGCACGAAACTCTGGCATGATGACATCTACATAGTCAGCCCTAGTGGCGTAATCTATAATGGTGATTAGGGTGGGTAAGGCAAACACAATGGATTCTGAACATTTGCACTCGTTCAGGATTTCTGGTAACACATAATTATACAGGATTTTCTGAAATAGATACACCATTGGTAAATTCACGACATAACATATGGTATTTTAAGATGAAATGTAAGTGGTAATCTAATACCTACGTAATATTTGCCATTACAACAAATGTAAACAAATGTCTACACTAAATATTTGTGTGATAAAATTAGCCGTGTTTAGAATATGTTAAGTAAAACAATTGCTTGACAATTCTTGTGTTAAAGGGGTTAAAAGGTTTGCTAGTTATCTATGTATCGGAAGTATTCTGTGGAACAAAATATTATCATGTTAACCCATCAGATTTGTTCATAAAATTATTTTTAGATAGTTTAATTTTGGTTATCAAGTTTATTTCTTTCATTTAATGGACTTTGATTTAAGAATAGATATTTCGTAGACTCTCCGTCAATTTTGGGCAGTTAGAATTTGTGTCGGCTACGCACCCTTGGTATATTCGGCACAACCTGAGAGAGACTGCTGTAGGCCTCGACCCTCTGGGCCGGGTCTCGGCGGTCACACATGTCCATCCCATGGAGACTTATCACAACCGGATCGTTGAAATATTTTAACTGGTGATTGGAAATGATGAGAATAGAGGAGGGACATGTCAAGGGAAATAATACATTTATATTTATTTTTATACCTATTGGTTTTTTTTTTTTCATTTTTGAATTCAATGCATTCTAATCAAATGCCAATATTTTTTTTTTATGAAAAAGCATGTTTTTTTAGAAGACATTTGCCTTTATAAATAAAAATATACAGATAATTCCTATTATAGGGATTAAAAATAAAATATCCACTTTCAAAACTATCGTTAGTTAATAAAACAATTTAATTTTTTATTAAAATGTTTATAATTAAT